AAAAGTAATTATGTGTTTACGATATCACAGTGGCACTCCTTTGTTTGTGGATATCGTGTTATACCATTCAAGCTAAGCTACTGGTATCTGGGTATCGTAAAGAGAAAAGGAAAAAACTCGTGGGTGGGTATGCTGTCAAAGCTGATATCGCGTCGCACTCTCCATTACTCCTCAACCCGTCCCTGCGCTCCTCCGTTCATTCGTGTCAATAATTCGAATCGTCATGGCTCAACCCCTTCCATCTTCATGTGTGAGACAGAAGGGTCGGCTTAGACGCGACTTCTAGTCGTAGTCTTGTGACGACGTCCGCCGCCGCCGCGACGACCGCAGTAGCCGCAGGTGAGGAAGCTGATGATGATGTTGCAGAAGGAGACGATGCCGCCGATGATGGCGTGGAGGATGCCTCCGATGCCTGAGATGACGGAGGTGAGGCAGTTGCCGATGGTCCGGAAGACGGATTGGACCTATAGGGGGATTGTGATTAGTTTGTGGTTTCTTCCATGATAGTCGGATACGGAAGAGGACTGATGACTTACACAAGAGACGACGGCGCCCATTTTTGCGGTGTTGTGGTATTGGTGGGTTGGAAAGTGGTAATTTGTAGAGTTGTAGAGAGAACCTCGAAGGGTGTTTGGTGGTTTGTTCGATGGTGTTTGGCTGTGATGGGATAGTGCGAATGGGTGAGAAAGAGGAAAAGGATAAGGGGTCTTATATACAGAGTGAACGCCAAAGCAGTTGGGAATGCGCAACGTCAAGGCACACCCTTGTGACTTGCCAAACACCTTACATCACAGCAGAGCGGTGACACCATTACGAAAGTAAGGTACATCCCCCCGCCATCGTCGATTGTCTCTACCTTTACGGTGTACCTCAAGGGTCAGCGGTAAGGCATGGTATCGTATCACACATTACCCTAATTTCCGGGTCGTTTTGGCGCTAGGAGAATTGGGGGAGGTGTGGTCTGGGCTGGAGTCTGTGGGAGAGGGAGAGAGACAGAGTGCGAGGCGTGCAAGTGCTCTGCTAAGGTAGCCGGGACACCGCATGGTGACGTCAATGTGGTAATCTCCCGTGATACATCACCTTTTTTTTTTTTTTTTTTTTCCCACCTTCCGTCCCGTCCCTTCGTATATGGTGAGGTAAGGTATCAGGGCATGTACTTTTCACCCCAGTCTTTTTTCTCAAATGTACTCCCTCGGATTCCTTCAATGGGAGAATGTGTCTCTAAACCAATCGGCCGAGGGAAAGACACCTCCTATCTCAAATGAGAAGAGAAAAATTTCGAGACGAGGTGTGATCACCCACTCACATACACGGTACACACACCCCCGGTCCGCATCAAGGTTTCTGATCCCCCCGTCACACGACGACATCTCACAGGGCCGGAGCGAATGCGCCGTCCAGAAGGAGCGACCAGTTCGAGTCGTTTGGGCACGACGTTGGGACGGTTGGGGTGTGAATGGTGCCCGTTTTGGGTGGCTCCCCTCCACACTATCAGGAACCTTACGTTAGTCCGCAGGAAAGATTTTCGCTACACGAGTCTGCGTCGAAGAGTTTGATTGCACGTCGGCGTTCATCAAGTCCCATTAAGCTGCGTGGTTCCAATCGAATGATTGGGTGATTGGAGAAAACATGTCATGGTGCAGTTCGTGAACCAGATAAACTGAGAAAAGTAGCGCCCCAGCCACAAGCCTCCTCGACCAAGGAGAAAACGTGGTGGCTGCGGGCGTAGCATTTTGTGGCGGTCATTGCGGCTTGTCTCATTTCCCTACGCTCTCCCTTCCCCCTCCAAACAGGTTCCTGTGAAGATATGACATCGTTCGTCTGGGCGTTTCGGTGTGTGTGCTGTACGAAGTATGGAGATTGGGATGAGAGGGCCATGACGTATGCGGCTCGGGGAATTCCTCTTTCTGCTGGGGGCGGGAACTCGAGGGACTGGGATGTTGATTGAGTTTGTGTGGAGAACTGCACGCCTGTACTGCGTCACACTTTTCTCACTCAGACTCTCTCTCACTCTCAGGCTCTCTTCCTGTCTCACAACGGCTGACGGGTAGCGCGCCCCGGTGCGGCGTGACCCCAGTCGTCCTCCAGTTCCCTGGCCGGATGTTCAAACTTTTTTTTATGAGGCGCGCCTTTCTCGGGAGGTTTCACGAAGGGTCTGGAATGGTCTTTGAAGCCTGGGCGTTGTGCGTGATGGCTGGGGTCTATCTTGTCTCGGACGACGCACACTCATACGAGGGACGTACACCTCATCGCGAGTTGCGAGCTATCCCGAAATCTCATGATTATCTCAGGTCCTTGCAGTTTCTCTGTCCATCCTTGGGAGGGAGTGTTCATCCTGACGCAGATGTCGGCATGTTCCGGCAGCCTCCATCTGCTTGGGGGAACCTGGAAAGGACAGGGCTGCACCCTGGTGGTGTCTAAAGACTATCTTGGAGAAGCATATTGGACGGCATCGTCACTACATGTCGTGAGGCCCCGAACCCTTGTCCTTTCAGATGCTCCTTTTTTTCGCTTGTCTTCAGGGTGAAAGTTGACTGGCTGCCGGATCTCGACTATTGGTGAGGCTCTGTGTTACAAACTTAGGTTTCTTATAGTTTTTGGCAGGTTTGGGTGGCTTGATCGTGACATTCCCCGACTAGACTAGGCTCTGGAGTTTTGTCCTGGCGAAGTACCTACCGTGCTGAGAAGGACCGTCAACCCTCGCCGACCTTTTTCAATGTTCTTGAGTTCACTTTGATGGATTTCATTACCCAGGCAATTTCTCTATAATTCCGTATTACGTCTCCCTTTTCCTGGATCGAATTACACCGTATTAAGGTGACCGCGAGCTTGAGAAACAGCATGAGCAACGTTTTAAAGCCGTATCGTGTGATTTTCCTTGAGAGCCATCTCCCGCTAATCTTTTGCGCCTGTACTCCGTAAAGCCGGAAAAAAGTCCACGACATACATAGATTCCACCGGTTCGTCTCTCGGGAGTACGGCGACTGAGTTGACTGCTGTTCGCAAAATGTCGACTCGTTGCGAACAGATGCTAGTAATACCGGCAAGGCTAGAAAGTGGACCAGAGAAAGCTTGATATGTGGCTCATGCCCCTAACACACATCGCGAGGTTAGAAGCCTAACGAAAAGTCAACGGGTGTTACGTAAGAGGCCGACTGGACTGCATCGATCTAGATCTTCAAGGAATCAAGGTCTTGCTATTAAAGGTATCGCGAAATTGAAAATTGACAGTACGGCGGCAAGCTGTCGATTGTATTGAGAAAATTTAGGACGCTGTACGCATACTGCAGAGTTTTTGAGGTAGAATGCATCACGGATGAAAAAGATGATCTGGCTAAGAGCATGCAGAATTATCGTGGCCTCCAGTTGGTGTTGGCCTTTGACGGATATGGAAGGCTTGTAGTTGCCAACGCAAGGTTGTAGATGGTGTTCTAGAGACTGGATTCCTTGTCCTTGGGTACTGATGGTAAAGCCACCTTTGAGAGAGGCCTGAGGTGCAACAACATGACTATGACACTGCGACAACAACGCAACTGGGTAAGAAAGCACTGGTGATATGGGTCCAAGACATCGGTTCAAAGAGGCATGAAATGCAACTTGTCACGATGTATGGACTACTGGGTGTCATAAAAGACCACGAGGTCTATTGTGGCGCAGGCTACTAGTTGCTGGACCCGAGGATCCAGTTGTGGCTCATTGAAGAACTCGGGCCAGATACATGCCGCTATAGCGGTTCCGGTATCCGTACGCCCAGGATGCTGGGGCAGGTGGCACTTGACGGAGTTACGTATTCCTTCGACCCTGTCCAAAGTCAAACTCTCTTTCTTTCATCATCAGAGGAGGGAGAGCAGCGACACACAAACACGACTTGATTCACGGCAATTCAACTCTCTGAGCTTTCAGAAATTGTACCGAGTCTTGGATATCTCCGACATCTACGGACAGCAGACCCCTGTTTGCTGAGTCAGTCCGCCCGTGGAGGATCAGTCTCCTCCGTACAGTCTGGAACCCCGAATTCCTGACCACCCCCTGCGCTCTGCCGCAATACATACAAGCCCATATCTCTCTCGCGCGCTCTCAGCTTCCATTTTATCGACGCCCGCGGACGGACGACGCACTGTCAGGTAGACGGCGATTGGCCGCTGACCACGCATGCAATTTCAAGCCTTTCCTTCAGCGGACAATTCAGGAAGACTGGACTCAGCGGCACGGTACCAGCATCCCGTTATCTATTAGCTGTACCTACTGGTGGTTCTGCCCCTCTCACAGCTCCTCCAGCACCGTATTATCCGGCTGTCCCGAAACGAAACCGAGCGTCGCTGACAAGAGGGGACAAATCTCTTCGTGTTGTTGGACTTTCCTGCGCGCCTGCGACTGCGACTGCGACTACGACTGTGTGTGTGCCTTGCCAGCCCTTGCACACTGCCGTCTGCTTGCCTGCCCGCCCGCGCAGTCTTACATACCTTACGGTCTCTACCTACCTCCGAAGGTGCGCGGTCCTCATCAGAGGTCGCAGGTATTATTAACTTGCTGGCCCCGACGGAACCCAACCCGCCATGCCTTCCATGAAACATGGCTTCCTTAAGTAAGCCTCTGTTGCTCCTTTCTCCGATTCGTTCTCCTCCATCATCCGTCCCATGTCGAGCTGATTTTTTGCCGGCGTTGTTGTCCTTATTGTATTCTCCTTATCTCACCTAAACATACGCATTCCTTGTGACCACGTGGGTTGTCTAGCCCTCTGCTCACCCGTACCTCACTTGAGGCTGAGATCTCACTGAGACAACCCCGGAGAGAGCTTGGTGGCCTTTTCTCGTCACGTCCAGCCCTACCTATTCTATTCGCTTTAGCTGTGTAATCAACAACCTCATCATTCCCATGTCTCTCCCTTGAAAGCACCTCTTGTTGGGGCCCGGGGCTTTTCGGTCCCCGCCTTGTTTTGCTTCTACTCTTGTCTCCGTCATTATCATTTGCGCTGAGCGTGAGCGAATCACTCGCTCAAAATGAGTCCCCTAAAGAGCATGGCTAACGGGGGCTTCCTGCCCACAGTCAATAAGAACAGAAAGGTAATGCTTCCTCTCCGCGCCCACCATCCTGCCGTGGGAAAGTCAATCCCCAAAAGTGGAGGATGTGCGCCGTTGTTGGTGACCACTCAGCGAACCGGTTTGAGCTAACGTTACTTGACGCAGCCAAAGTTTGAGTTACATCTAAAGGTGTGAGCCCCTCTTGACACGGCAGTTGCTGCATCTTGGCGAAGAATCTCTCTTATTGACAACTCCTCCAGATCTTCGACTTAAACAACGTCCCGTTGGTATCAGGGACGTCAATAGTAAAATGGAACCTCGCACACTCTATTCACGCCGAGCACCGCGGCCGCACGCCGCAATGCCCGATCTCCAACCACAAGGTCGAGTATAACTACTCCAAGGTCGTCAGCCATATCCGGATCAGCATCGACAAGAACAATAACCTAACCGAGTGTCCCGTCGAATTTGAGGTCCTTCAACAATTCCCGGGCAGCGGCAGGGAGGAGAAGATCTCGCTCGGTATCGTCAAGCTCAACCTCAGCGAGTACGTGGAGGAGAGCGATGGCCTTACCCGAGAGAGCGCTAGCTTCGACCGCGGTCACTCCCGCAAGCGAAGCAGCGGCACCAGCCAGAGCCCAATGTCGACGAGGGCGCCGGTGCTGGACGATCCAGATGTCGAGGATGGTATCGTGCGGCGGTATCTTATGCAGGAAAGCAAGATCAACAGCACATTGAAGATCGGCATTTTGATGGTGCAGCTCGATGGCGACAAGAACTACTCTGCGCCTCCTTTGAAAACTGCACCCGTATTTGGCGGGATTGCCGGCATCATGGCGGGCGAAGCAGTTGAGCAAGATGACGCTGGACGTAAGTCTTCCGCGGTTTTCTACATCTGCGCTTCTTGGCAGTCCATCTCGTACTAACATCACCCCCCAAGAGCTTCCCACAATGGCAAAATCCAGGGATGCCTCCGAAGTGCAGGACATGTACCGCCGCGCCCTCGCAGCCTCCTGGTCCTGTCAACCCGGCGAGCTCCCCGCCGATCAGTGCATCGAAGACATCTTTTCCGGCGGCGACGGGTGGCAGGCCGGGCGCACGGGACGCACCGGCAAAAAGACGGCCACCTTTGACCTGGACAACGGCGGCTCTCTGAGCTCCGACGAGGGTGGCATGAACGGCACCCTCCGACCCTCGGACTTTCGCAAGCTGGAACGGAAGCAGCAGCAGCAACACCAACAGCTGCTGGACCCGCCTCAGCAGGATCACTTGCACCTGCACCGCCTGCACAACGGCCACCGCCACCATTCACGCAACAACAGCGGCTCCAGTGACAGGAGCATGAGGAGCTTGCGGAGCATTAAGAGCATGGCCACCATCGTTACGGGCCGTGGTGACGCAGCGAGCAGCACCGCCGGCGCGAGCAACGTTGCTCGTCGCGGCTCACATAGCCGGACCAGGGGTCGGGACGACGACCAACGGCTCGGAGTAGGAGGGGGAGGTGGTGGTGGTGGTGGTGGCGGTAACGGAGGGGGTATCGGTGCGCGCGATCACGGGCGCTCGAGGAGCCGCAGCGGGAGCATGGTGAGCCTGGCGCCGACGATGGGCAGTAGTGATCGCGGGCGCGAGAGCTCGAGGAGGAACAGGGAGCTGGAGGAGTTTGACGTCCGTGATGATCTCGTCGCGTGGAGGTTGCCTGGCGCTGTCACATAAAAGGGGGACAGTGCGATGTGATTCAAGGACCGCTGTTGCTTTTCGTTTCCTCGTAGCAAGGTGTTTAGTGGGCAGGCGTACATTTTATCTTCTTGCATAGGCAATGCCTCCTCCTTTCTCATACTCATCCATTGAAGTTTTGTTCAATCATCATCCTTGGGGTCGTCTGTATGTAGTGCCGGATTCGTGATTTCGGTCTTGCATGTGTATCTGGGACAAAACGAGAAGGTTCATTAACAGCATTTCGTTTTTCTACATCTCTTCTCCCCAAGACTAACTCGCCTACAAAAAAGCTTGCTGTCTATAACTCCTTTTTTGCGCGCTCTCTCTCTCTCTCTCTCTATGTTCCGGGTGTTCATGTCCGTTGATTCATGCCTTCCATTTCCACTCCTCCGCCACCGAAGATTGATGTCTATATAAAAAAAAGGGGGGGACAGACAGGTTTTCGGAAAACAAAAGGCTCGTCTTTTATCAACCCCCTGATCCCTAATCACTCTCTTTTTACGCCTGACCGTTTTGTTTTTGCATCCAATGGCGTGCGTCTTTTCTTCCTCATAGGCAAAAGTCGTTACTGGTCTCTATTCAGATGTAGGGACGATAACCACTTCAAGGAGCGTTGATGGTGCCGCGGACACCGCCCTTGCCGCCAACCTCTCTCGCCGTGATCGTGACGCCCAAGTCGGCGGCGACGTTGATGGTGACCTCGACCTTGGCGCCCTTGCTGACGCCGCGGACGGCGGCCTCGGCGAGGGTGGGACCGACCTTCCAGACCTTTTCGCGGATGTCCTCCTCCTCGTCGGAGAAGTCAGAGTCGTCCTCGTCGTCGGCCTCGGGCTTGGCGGCCTTGGGCTCGGGCTTGGTGACCTTGATGTGGGCGCCGCCCTCGACGATGCGGACGAGGACGTCGCCTCCGTCCTTGGGGGCGGCGATCTTGACGGTGCGGCGGGCGGGGACGGCGGTCTCGGCGGGGACGACGGGGACGAACTCGTCGTTTGCGCCGACGACGCCGATGGCGTTGGCGATGTGCTTGACGGTGGTGACGGCGGCGTGGGTGCTCTGGTCAATGTCCTCGGCGTCGTACTCCTGGATCAGGGAGGCCTGGAGGGCGGCGCCGCGGGCGAGGAGCTCGGAGGGGTTGATGGCGTTGGCGACGGTGGAGGGGGCGATGACCTTTGTGGACTCGGGGAAGAGCTGGGAGAAGTTGGAGGCGATGCGCGGGGTGTGGGCGGTGCCGCCGGCGACGATGACCTCGTCAATGTCGAGGACGTCGAGCTCGGCCTTCTTGACGACTCCCTCGACGAGGCGGTTGAAGCCGTCAAAGACCTTGCGGGCGACCATCTCGTAGCGTAACCGGTTGATGGTGGACTGGAAGTCGACGCCGTCGGCGAGGGACTCGACGCTGAAGCTGGCGTTGTTGCTGAGGGAGAGGGCGCGCTTGGTGGACTCGGCCTCGGCCTTGAGCTTGGCGAGGGAGCGGGCGTTCTCGCGGGGGTCGGTGGTGTGCTTCTTGATGAACTCCTTGGCGAAGTAGTCGATGAGGACCTGGTCGAGGTGGGAGCCGGAGAACTCGTAGTCGTGGGCGGTGGCGAGGACGGTGTACATGCCGCCGCGGGAGGCGACGACGGCCACGTCGGAGCGGGTGCCGCCAAGATCGGCGACGACGACAATCTTGTCCTCGATAACGGCCTCGGGACGGGCGTCATAGGCAAGGACGGCGGCGATGGGGTCGGAGATGACCTGGAGGACCTCGAGGCCGGCCTCCTTGGCGGCGGCGACGAGAGCCTCCCTCTGCTTCTCGGTGAAGTTGGTGGGGACGGTGATGACGGCCGAGGTGACCTTCTGGCCTAGGTAGTCGCTGGCGGAGCCGACGAGGCGGCGGATGTAGCGCACGGCGGTCTCGTGGACGGAGACGGTGGAGGGCTCCTCAGCGTCCTCCTTATCCTTCACTGAGAAGGAGACGGTGCCGTTCACGTCCTGGGGGTGGGCAGAGGCGTGGTTGTGGGTGGGGTCGATGGACTTGAAGCTGTAGGTGGGACATTGTCAGTTCAAGATGCCAGGCGGGGGTGGAAGGAGAGAGAGTTTCATGGGGGAAGGGTAAAGCCGTACTCCTGTCCGAGAAAGTCCTTGAAGTATGCAATCGTGTTGGTGGGGTTTCTGATGAGGAAGGCCTTGGCCTGCTGTCCGTAGTACTCGTCTCCATCAACGTAGGAGAGGATGGTGGGAATTTGACGGTCTGCCATGGTGATATATGTCAGCGATTCGCTCCTCGGTTGCCCAATCGCCATGTTTCCCATCCCCAAAAGAAGAGCTCACCTCCGTCCTCGTTGGCCATAACCTCGGCCTTGTCATCCTTGGTGTATGCGATGAAGCTGTTGGAGTTGCCAAAGGTGATACCAATGACGGTGCGGTCGCCCGGCGCGGGCCGCGAGTCACCGTTCGTAGCCATTTTGTGTGTATGTGTGTGTGCGTGCGGAAAGACGTATGTGTGCGTATGCGTATATTCGTCGTGGAGGGGGAGGAGGCGACGATATAAGGAGTCGAGAAAAAGCAGGGGGGTAGTAGGTATTTATTGAACTTTTGATACCACAACTCCAGTAGAGATCTCGAAGGAAAGGAATGTTTTCAATGGTGGTGGGCGGTGGATGGTGGGGGTTCCTCTCTCAAAGGCCAACTGCGAAATTTTGGGCAAGGGAAAAAAAAAATTCCCACGTTCGCTGTCGTCCAGTCGCAGTGGGGCCCTTCGTTTTCCCCACATGTCCCATCGGCCGTATTCCAATCAAATTCAATTCGCTGGAGGAGCCACCGCCGCACACACAAAGTGCCCCGCCAAAGCTTTCGACATTCAGTGACCGCTGCTACTGCTGCAAGGCTGAAATCGCAGATACCAGCGCTGAAGGCGAAAAAAGTAAGGTAATAATACTCGGCGCTCGCGCTCACCTGACGATTTCAATTCGACATCACCACCAAAATCCTACTCGGCGGTACAACGAAGACCCTTTCGACCATGGCCTCCGTCGGCCCTTATGTCCTCCCCGGCGACGAGATTGACGACTCCCTCATCCCTTCACATCAGAAACTTCCACTGCGCCTCGGCCCTGGCCTCCGCCATGTTCCTCCCAGGCAAATAGTGCCCACCATCGCCGGCAAGCTCGTCACAGATCGCAAGAAGAACTCGATATGGGTTGAGCAGACAAGTGGACGGGTACGATCTTATCGCGTCTCTCAGAGATTCTGCCATTACGAACAAAAAAAGATTAACAAATGATCAAATAGTATATCCCCGCCGTAGGCGACCTCGTCGTCGGCACCGTCCAGCGCACCGCCGCCGAACTATACTACGTCCTCCTCGCCGACTACTCAACACCAGCCATGCTCCCCCAACTCTCCTTCGAAGGCGCCTCCAAAAAGACGCGCCCCCAACTCGCCGCCGGCGCCCTCGTCTACGCCCGCGTCACGCTGGCCAACAAGCACATGGACCCGGAACTCGAATGCGTCTACCAATCCACCGGCAAGAGCGACGGCCTGGGCCCCCTCGTGGGCGGCATGCTCTTCGACATCTCGCTGGGCATGTCGCGGCGTCTGCTGATGCCAAAGACGACGGATCTCGTCGTGCTCGAGGAGCTGGGCGCCACGGGCGCGGCCTTCGAGACGGCCGTCGGTCGCAACGGCAAGATCTGGGTCAACAGCGAGAGCACAAAGGTTATCATCGCGGTGGGACGGGCGATTCAGGAGACGGACCAGCGTGGTCTCACAATCGATCAGCAGAAGAAGCTTGTGAGATCGTTAATCAAAGATTTGAGTTAAAAAGGGGTTTCCTATGCAAACACGCCCTCCCGTGATGCTTTTTATGGCCTTGTTCTACAGTATTTACCCTGGCGGCAATCTCCGTGAGCCTCCAAACGCCAGGCTGCTGCTATGCAGCACCCGATAAAAGAATGTACCTGTGTTGCCCCCTTGTTTTTACTCCCTCCTCAAGAGGCAACCAAGATGTATGTAACAAATTGCCCATAGGCAACGACGAAACGAATGATGCCTAGATCCGTCACTAGGCCCGATTCGTGATGGGAGGGTGCCTTACTTAAGTAGTCGTTCCCTCTCACTCATCCCCAATCCTGCTACATGCTCACAGAGAGCAAAGGCGGTCGTCGCTTGCAAGTCACTTGTCCGTCATTTCGACAGACCACTTCCCAAGCGTTGCCTCGTCTGTAGGGCGATATTGCCCCCTTGCCCCTGAATCGGTGGCATTGTTTCTGCGTGTAGAAAAGCTTATAGGCATTCCAACCCTATGTTCCTCCCATATTCTCGTCGACAATGTCGGGCTCTGGGTCACCCATTGGTGTGACTTGGTGGATATTCATCATGTGCCGTCTCCAATTATCCTTTCTCGGGAATGATTTGCCTCCCGCCTTGGAATAGGGGCAGGTGCTGACGGTGCAATGAAACTTCTTCGTCTTCTTGTGTTTATCGTTGATGTGACGATCCAGATGTGTTTTAGTACCGAACCTCTTTCCGCAGTTCGGATGGGCACATTCATGAGGCCTCTCGTGGTATCGTTTATGGTGACTAGATCTGTCAATAACATGTGCGAAGCAATTTCTACGCATCTGAACTTACTTCAGCTTGTGGACCTGGTCGAAAAATCTACCACATTCGTCACAGATGAATGTTCGAGGAGACGGCTGCATTCCTGGGTACGGCGACGTGCTATTGCGGATATCCGAGCTGCCGTCTGATCGCGGAGATGGACTGCTGTCGATTTGGGTGTTTGGCGTGCTTTGGTAAGAAGGGCCGGAGCTGGTTTGCCCAGCTACCGGCGGGGAGTGATCGGATGGGTCGGTTATTTCGCCATCGAGGTAGTGTTGGTTATGTTGATTGTGTTGATCAGGCATGAGGTGGGTTGGATCAGGTAATTGCGCGACATCGTTCATCTGTACATCCGGAAGAGCGCCGTTCGCATGGCCTCCATTTGTGAGGTTCCAGTTCATCGCCTGGGATTGTCC